GTCCCAGCTCCAGTACAGGTGAACCCTGTCATGGTGGTGTACAGCTATAACCCAGCACTTGGGAGATGTTTAAAAGTTCAAAGTCATTCTCAGCTACAAATACAGCAAGTTTGAAGTCAGTCTGGGATACACGAGACCCTGTCTCCAAATTAAAAAGGGACCCGGGGGTGGGGAAGACACTAGAGGCAAGAACAAGACATATGTGTAATAAATATATGCTAAAAATATAAATATACATACATATCTACTTTAAAGTTCGCAAGATTAACTTGCTCGTTTATATCTTGAGCATCTTTACCCATTAAATTTTACTGAATAGAACTGCTCATTCATGTCCAGTTCCTGAGATTCACAGACATCAATTACCTGAGTTGATACAGGCCCGCTGCAGACCATATCCCTGTAGCTTCTACCAGTGAAGTATGTTTTCTAAAGAGTCAGTTGTATTGGGTTCCAAGCTGGTTTATGTCAAATAGATGTATTTGTGACTATATACATTAATTAAACAAATGCAGAGAGAGTTTCTGGGCCATTGAGATAGCTCAGCAGATAAAGGTGCTTGCTGCCAATGCCAGACAACCTGAGTCCCGCTTAGTGGAAGGAGAGATCTGACTCCAGCAAGCTGTTCTCTGATATACAGTTGTGTGTGTGTGTGTGTGTGTGTGTGTGTGTATCCTCTCTCTCCCCCTCTCTCCCTCTCCTCTTTATTTTTAATAAAAATTTATTTAATAAGAAGAATTGTTGATTTTAAAGAGGTTTAGGAAACTCAGGAACTTGATGAAGCAGAGTCACTTGAACGGTCCTGTGTGTGAGACAATTTATAAAAATACTTTAAAGGAAAAGAATCAAACCTGGAAAAAGTTTGTGCATTTTTCATTTGCTTAGTGGCTTTCAGGACAGCAGGCTTCGTGTACAATACGGGCTGACCTTAATGATGGCTGCACAGCCAACATCAGTGTTCCTGCTGACTACATGAAGAACCATTAGTGCTAAGAACTCTCAGCTATTTCCTGGATGCACAGAACTTGCTAAGAGTCTCAGTTCATCCTCAGATTCCCGATAATGAAGGTTTGTTATGATTGTCTACTGGCTGAGCCCAAGAAACCCAACCCCAAGAGACTGGGCCTTCTTCAGGTAGTTACTATACACTTCAACAGTCAAACACTTACACCTCAATACATTAAAACCTATTCATACTGTGCCATTCTGCTGATAATTTGGTTCTAATTTGGCAACTGATAGCTTTTAGAATGTTAATTTTGGTGCACACAGGCTCTGTCGTCTCGCTTCCCTTAAGCAATGTGAAATTAATCATTTCCACCTCTGACCACATAAACCCCCCAAGATGGGAACAGAATCAAACACGGCCATCTAGTTCCAGCCTGCAGCTTGGCCCTCGACCTGAAGGTGCTCCTGTATCATCACACAGCGGGAACCACACGAGGAGATCAGGAGTCAGCAGTAAATCTTTTCTTCCAGGTTGTGGGGTACCCACAAATGCCCAAGAACACATGGTTTCAGTAAATTTGAGCAAAACACCATATGGCAAGAAAGATTACGTAATTTCTAGGCCAATGTTCAGAATCTCCCAGGCTAAGAGATATTACCTACACTGACCTCACATATATCACCACCAGACTGCTATTCTTTCCTTTAAGAAAATACTTGTTCTTATTTCTATTTATGTATTTATGTGTTTGTGTATGCCATGTGTGGACTGCTGCCTGAGGAGGCTGAGGAGGGCAACAGATCCCCTGGAGCTGGAGTCACAGGAGACTGTGAGCCACCAGTGTGGATGCTGGGAACCAAATGCAGGTCCTCTGGAAGGACAGCAAGTGTTCTTAACCACTGAGCCATCCCTCCAGCCCCCAGACTGCTGTTTCTATCTGCAGTAAGATTCAAAGATGAGCAGGCAGGAAATAAACAGCAAAGCTCTTGGAAATCACTTACCTACTGGCAGGGCTCATTTAGGAAATGAGATTTTTTTTTTTTAAACTATTGATTCCCTATCAAGGAGGTCTTAATTACCATTTGCATGATGTGATCATTTACTGAGATGGCTCGAGTTTGTCACTATGAACTCTAATGCAATCACTTTCTAATCTTGTAATGAGATCTACGTGTGGCTGCATGCTGAGGTTGGGGGAAAGACGTGGGTTTCTATAGAGGGGGCAGGTTTGAGGTCTCTAACTCTGCAATCTATTAACTTGTCTGTCTTTTGAGGTCTCTAACTCTGAAGTCTATTAACCTGTCTGCCTTCCCCTCCACTTATTCCTACCACAAAGACTTTTGCTTCTGACTCAAAAATACCTGCCGGACATTACGATATCAACATACCAAGAGGGTAAGAGGAGGAAGAGACACTTCAAGCACACAGTGCTTCGCTTCCATGCAACGCAAATGACTGAACAAACCAGCCTTTGATTCGCCAAAGAAGCCGCCACAGCTGTGCTGTCCACATAAAATGGACAATTCAGCTTTATGGGAGATGTGGCTGCAGTTCCTTCTCTACCTCATCCTGTCCACAGATGAGGAAAAAGGTTATCTTTATCTCACCAAAGCCTGGCAGCTTGTGGCAAAACCAGGTGCCATAAATCCCAGCCTGGTTCATCCGTTTGTCAACAGACTGATGCTACCCACGGTCCTGACACAATGAAGCAATGAGACATTTGAGGACACAACTTATGGGACCAGTACTAGGTAAAAGGATTCAGTGACACACACACACACACACCAACAGTGCAAAGGTGGGGGCCAAGAATCGGAACCCCATCATCTGACGTAAGCTGTCACATTCTTTTAAGTGCTCTGCCCAAGCCCTGAGGTGCCCTTCTTGATTCCAGAGAACTCAAGAGTTTCAGGTTAAAAAGCCAGAGAGGACAGAGCATCTTGCAATAGCGTCTAATAAACAGCAAGACTTTGAAGATTTAATGTTCAGACCCAGCCCGTGAGGCGTGAGGATCCTGGCATCCTTGGCTCTCCCAGCCCATGCATCTACCAACCCCCACTTGGCCCGCCAGACCCCAGTTTTGAGAGCTGCTTTGAGAGCCTGGACTCAGTCTCAATGAGGCCATTCTTCATGGAGCCTGACAAATAGGTTGGTTTCAGGAACTCTGTGCTTCTCTCTCCCCTTATTCCTCACCAGGGAATGAACGCTTCCACCTTAATGTTTCTAGTCACAGCTAAGAACCGCTGTTCCTTTTAATCAAGAAGAAGAGAAATCAAATTGGTGCTGAAGCCAAAAATCTCACCTACAAGCAACGCATCTCCTATGCAGATTCTCAATAACAATCCAATACCGGAAAGAACAGCGGCCACAAATCTTACGGTTTGCTAACAGTGTTATGTGTGTAATAATGATGGTATCTACAGAATAAGGAACGTTCTACCTCTCCCCTCAGTACTGTAAAGGTGCATGTTTCCATGAATCGAGAGACCTTCTTTCAAGGTTAGCGCAAACTTATTTGAATTGATCATGCAGCCAAAAATTGTGCCAACGTTAGGCTGTCCGTACATTAATGATCATTTTTATCTATTTAGAATTCTGAACGTAGTGTTTCTCAGATCCTAAATCCCACAGATCTCTTATCATCTGGATCCAATGAAGTTGTACTTGGCTGAGAAGAAAGTCTTCGCGCCCTGCGTACTAAACTGGGAGAGGCTACTGTGGTGTCCCGAGGGCAGGAACTCAATGGAAGACATGTGCAGAGGGACACAGGAAGGAGGAAAGCGGTCTCTCCTACACAGTCTTAAGCAGCCCATCCCAACAGCTTGCTTCACCCCACTGATCTCTACGTCTTAGCTTGCCTTTGAGGCTTTCCGGTCATCACTGGGCTCTCTGCCCAGCCCCACCCTACAAGAAACTCAAATGGACTATCGCTTATAGGTGCCTTCCACCAGTCAGCATTTAGGGTCCCTAGATAGCCCATGGGACACCAATGGCATAGGTCCACAGGGGCTGCCTTTCCCATTTTATAGGAAGCACGATGAGGCTCAGAGAAATTAAGCACTTATCCCAAAGAGCCAAAGCAGCGTTCTGGGATTTTTTTTTTTTTTTTTTTTTTTTTTTTTTTTTGGTTTTTCGAGACAGGGTTTCTCTGAGTAGCCCTGGCTGTCCTGGAACTCACTCTGTAGACCAGGCTAGCCTCGAACTCTCGAACTCAGAAATCCGCCTGCCTCTGCCTCCCAAGTGCTGGGATTAAAGGCGTGCGCCACCACCGCCCGGCCCCGTTCTGGGATTTTTTAACCCGGACCTGACATCAAGGTCCACGGATTTGCTTTGGCTCCATGATACTTCTTGTCTGGGTACCTCTGACATTCCTCTTACAGGCTTAAGTTTTTCATAATTAACAAGTAAAACTTGTATTTGTGTGTTACACACATACTTTAATATATGAATGCATTCTGGAATGACTGAATCAGGTGACTTAACATACACCTAACCTCAATAATTACCGTTTCCCACTTCGGACGTACTTTGTGTGCTCGCTTTCAGCGCACAGCAGCCAGTCCGTGCTTTTGTAACTCAGAGTTTCTATAGCACTTAATTAAACCTTGCAAAGTTTAGGCTTGACCTGGGAGCATCTGTGAGGCCAACGGCATCCCTAAGAAGCAGATGACTAAAAACCTAATGGGGTTTGGAATTTTGATGGTACAGGGTAGGGGGCGGGGGAGGTGGGAGAGTCTTGATAGCACTGCCTGGCCTAATACTGGCTATGTATCTCAGCCTCGAACTGGCCTTGAACTCAAGGCTATCCTCTTGCCTCAGCTCCCTCGGTGCTGGAACCGTAGGTGTGCACCCTTACCCATGTCCCTCTGTTGGGGTTTTCAAACCCAGTCTAAGGTGTTCAGCCAGAAAACAGTAGAGCCAGATCACTGACTTTGCAAACCCACCCACTAGAACGAGAGAGTGGGTGTGAGACTCACAGGAAAAGGAGAGTACAGAATAAGCAGAGAAAACAGACAAAACAGCACAGGCCCAGAGGGAACAGCCAACTTACCAGCATATTTTGTTGTGTTCGATTCATCCATGGACCAAAAGCAATAATCAAAGGCAAACACCTGAATGGAAGAACAAAATATAAAGCTTAAGAATGAGTTCCAGAGACGTGAATTGGGCGGGGGGGGGGATGCTCAGAGAGGATGGGGGGGTGGTGGAAATGCTCAGAGAGGATGAGGGGAGGGGGGAAATGTTCAGAGAGGATGGGGAGGCTCGCTATTGTCTGATGGGGAAAACAGGAGTAGTTTGGGGGCAACTGTCCTCCAGTCATGAATTCATATAAAAACTACTGTTTATCTGGAATTCTAACAGACAGACATATGAACCAGGTGGTTTATTGAACACTACACTTAATAAGAATCCTACACACACACACACACACACAAGTCTAATAGTGTGCACTGAAACCTTTAAGTTTTCTCCCCTACACCTTCTCGAGCAGAGTTAGATGAGTATATTTTTACACCAGTTCCTTCTTCTAGTCATCCACCCTCCTAGTCATCCACCATGCTGTCATGTCTTGAACAAAGGCAGTTACCTCCCTTCACAATCTGGGATTTCTTTCTTCCTTACTGTTTCAACACACAATCCCTGCCTGAGTATCGCTGACAACTCAGGCACTAATCCTCCACTCACCTCCAGAAAGCTGACCAGATAAGAACTCCTACCTAGCCACGATCTTTCCACACAAACACTACTACCTGTGCTCAAGCCACTGTCAAATGCACAGAAAAACACTCCCCAGTTGGTGTCCTAAGGAACAGGAGTTCTACGAGATGGCCCCTGGAGGAAGATAAAATCACACTGAACACTGCACACACGGATTGCCCTGCTTCCGGTTTCTGGGGTGAAAGCTTTGGAAAGTCTTCCAGAAAACAACCATCTAAATACCTAGCCTTCTCAGTTCTTGTAATTCAGTTTTGGAGAATACTTATTAACAAGTAACTTTAGCCTGCAAACACGCACCTCTGGGGCAGCTCCCAATGGCTCTGCAGCCTCTTTCTGGAGCTACACACTGAGGCTTTTTCCCACCTGTGCAGTGGGTGATATTTAAATCTCCAACCCGAATAGGACCGGTCAATGAAAACACAACTTAGTAATTATGAATATATTCGGTAAGCCTAGATTGGGCAGATACCCCTACACTACTGTGTTCCCCAGCTATGAGACCCTTATAACTTGAGGGTTTTCCAGACTCTGTGTTTGTCCTTCTACCTCCTGCTTCCCAGTTGTCTTCCTTCGTCGTCCTCTATTGTCTTCTCTCTCCTCTCTTCTCTTTTCTCCCCAGTCGTCCTCTCTCTCTTCTCTCCCCAGTCATCCTCCGTTGTCTTCCTCCAGTTGTCCTCCCTCTCTTTCTTCTCTCCCCAGCTTTTATATCTCCACCTCCCCTTCCTCTGCCCAATCACTGGCTCCAGCCTTTATTTTACAAATTAAGATGGGCAGAAGGTTTACTAGAAATCCTCCTCCGCAGCCCTTCCCAAGAAAGGGAAATTAGTATCAAAATACAAGGCCGGGGTTATTCACTACACCCCTGCACAGGGGTCTTCCACTGCATCAACACTTTAAGGGACACACTCTGACCCAACTCAGCCTGGCAATCCAGACTGGACACCAAGAGCTCCTGGCCAACCACCTCCCTTGCTCCCCGTGCCCAGTGGAGTGTGTCCTTTGGAATGACTAGGCACACACCCAATCTGTTTTCATTTTTCTCTTCACATCCACCCTTCGAGATGTTTAATACTGCAGACCTGGGTCAACACGTTTTCTTCCAGAAAACACTTCTTGAATAGACAAGGGATTTCCCCCCTTCTCTGGTATCTCACAAGAGTACTTAATCGTTTTCTCTGCTTCCATTCCAATTTTTTCTGTTATCTACTAATCATGACATAGGAATGCCAAACCTTTTGATATAGTGACATCAACAAACCTGTTGGGTTGAATTCATAGCTACTCTGGCAGGCATAAGCCTGTAGGCTGCAGATTGGACATAGTTGGATGATCTGTGAATGTTTTAATCTCCACTTGTATCCTAAGTTCCCTGAAGGCAGGAACCATATTTAATTTATCTTTGAAACCTGCAATATTTATATTCATTGCTTTGGAATTATTTATCAAATGATTCACGGCATTGAAACTTTGCAAGGAAGCAGGTACTTTTTATATAACAAAAGTCTTACATGGGCTGGCAAGATGGCTCAGTAGCTAAGAGTGCTTGCTGCACAGTTATGAGGACCTGAGTTCAAATGTCCAGAATCCATGTAAAAAGCTCCATGTGAGCCTGGGTACCTGTAAGCCCAGCAATGAAGGAGGGCAGCAGAGCTGGGAGGATTTCGGGGGCTTCCAACCTAGCTCCAGGTTCTGTAAAAGACCCCGTCTCAAGGAATAAGGGAGGGGGATATGCCACAACTCACACCCTCTCTTCATCCTCTTCATCCCCTCCTCTCTCTTTCTCTCTCCTTCCCACCTCCCCCTCTCAAACACGCACGCACGCACGCACGCACGCACGCACGCACACAAAACAAAATCAAAAGACTAACTCATGTGTACAATAGTTTCATCCCAACACAGATTCAGGCACATGGACTATACATCACTTACACCACTGACACCCGATTCAAGTTTGATACAGACATAGGCACCAAAGGCAACCTTGTAACCAACAGCAGAGACAATAGTTTCTGCCAACAAAGAACATTTCCTGCCTGTGAGGGTTCTTTCAATGACTCAAAAGACCACACAGGCATAATCCAGATAATCTTCTTGCCTTTGGGTAGGACTGAACTTCAACACTGCCCCCAAGAGACCTGTGTTGTTTTAAAACATTTCTAGAAATAAAGATTCTACAATTTCCCACCCCTCCATGAAACCAGGTAATACTTTTCTTTCGTCCTCAGAACATCTGCCTTTGTCTTCTACCTAAGCCAACCGCCAACCTTAGTGCAAATGGTCAGTACAAATTCTTTCCCAATTTTTAAATATCTCCACTAGTGTCTTCAGGATCACAACAAGTCTCTTTAGTAGTTCCTATAGAGAGTGGCATTCTCATCCATCTCAGGCTGATTTTTAACAGTTTGCTGTCTTGCATACTGAGATGCCAATCTACTGGTCTCTAAGCACAGGGCCACTACTTGAAATACAATGCGATCTAGCCCAAGCTGGAGTATGTACCTGTTAGTAGCAATCACTGCTCATCTGCTATATTTTTTAACAGTTGAGGATTTGAAGTTGTTTCTAATAGGAAAAAAAAAAACATAAAATTTCATCCTCCATCTCTCCCCTTTAAATTCTAGACAAATATTAAAAAGCTAGCAAGTATAAGGGGGACCTGAAGGAATTACAGGATACTGGGTTCTCTGCCTACCAAGCACAGACCTCTCCTTCTTGAGCTGTGGGATCTTCTGGATTTCACAAATGCTGGTCTTGGGCACTTAGGGTAGTGATCCCAGCAAGCCAGATATGGAGTGTAGGTTTTTATTTTAGTAAACATTTATCAGGAGGAAGTCTGGAGAGTGACTCACCTCACTAAATATAAGACACCATATATCATACTAGAGACCTGTATTGTTCTAGGCTAACTGCTTCTGTTAGAGTCCGTAACGGCTACTGCATGGCTCATTACAGAAGTTGCTTGTATCCTCACTGCAAAGTCGGTGATGGGAGACACCAAAGGCCTGCATACAACCAAGCAAATACATAAAGATGGGGTCTGAGTGTGGTAGCTCAAACCTGGAATCTTAGCACTTGGGAGGCTGAGGCAGGAGGATTGCCACAAGTCTGATGCCAGTGTGGGGTACATAGTAAGTTCTGGGTCAGCATGGGATATCAAGTGATACCCTCAACAACACACACACACACACACACACACACGGGGTGGGGGGGAAAGAGAACACCAAGCATAAGCCACCTACTTCATCAATGCCAACCAACACCAGGAATCCCCACCTTTCTAACCAGAAAAAGAGCCGAATGTACAGACATTCTCGAGTTAATTATAAAATTACCAACCCACTGTCTTCAGCAAAATCCCACTCTCTTTTCTTAGCCCAACATGTGTAAGACTCATGCCAGCACCAAATTCCTAGCAGCTTGTCCATCTGCTCCAGCCCCATTGGGCCCTTAGAAAATGTTAGCTCTGCATTTCTGTGAACCGCTGAGCAGACAGCGAGGCTGCGAAGGCTGTTTTTAATAAGATGAACTCACTGAGTGACATATATCCTGAATTAAGGAGGCTCCAGGATTTGTGAGCAGCACACCGTACAAACTCCCCGCTTACCGAGAAGTGTGATCTCTGGTGGCATTTCAGCAAAATTCAATTGTGGTTTTAAAAAACCCAAAACCCTGAAAGAAGCATCTAGCGTGTTCCGAAGGGAAACAGAAGACACCAGAGTTCTGAGAAATGTGGTCTGCTGCCATTTTTCCAATCCATAAAAAACAGTTGTCAGATATGGTGCTACAGACCTGTAATCATCGCACTTAGAAGGCTGAGGTAGGAGGATCAAGAATTTGAGGCTAGCCTGAGCAACACAGAGAGACTAAGACCCCAGTTCAACAAAGTAATAAAGGCCAAATGTGAAAAAATTTCAACCGCATGGATTCTGTGGCTTTCTTCATTTCGTTCCCCTTTGAAAAAAAAAAAAAAAAGATTAATATACTTTTATGTGCACGACTGTTTTGCCATGTGCATGTAGTACCCACAGAGACCAGAAGAGGGCATCAGAGTCCCCTTTGGAATTACAGGCAGCGCCTGACGTGGGTGCTGGAAGCTGCACTCAGAACCTGGGTCTTCAGCAAGAGTAGCAAGTGCTTTTAAGCGCCAAGCCATCTCTCCACCCCCTCTGTGGCCTTCCTCGATCCTGTCTAGTTTTGTGCCCTCCCTAAGGTCTCCAACCACGAGAATTTACTTCAGGAAACCATCACTAGAGACCTACCTATCGCTCTCAGTTTGAACTCAGACACTTGACAGTTATATTTTCTGTCCTGTAGTTGCATAAATCTAGTTAAAAATATTAAACAGTGGGGCGTGGTGGTGCGCTCCTGAAACCCCAGCAAACAGCGGGGGGCG